TCTCTAGGCTGGGAACCCTAATGGTTAATAGATTCTAGAGACTAGCTTCCCAGGATCCATCCACACTCTCCCACCTCAGGCAGGTTATCTGGTCTCTCCTGATGTACCATGATGACATCTGGGAGGGGCTGGGCAGGGCTCCATCTGTGACTGGCAAGGGCAGAGATGGGGCTTGCAGTGGGTTTTGGGCAGGCAGTACCAGAATCAAACCATCCCCCTTGGCTTCTCTGACTGCTGACAGTCAGACCACTGAGTCAGTAGCTGGAGATGAGCCTAGGGGAGGAGAGATGAGGAGTGGGAGGAAGAGGGACAGAGGGGCAGGGAGAGAAGGAGGGAGGGAGGAGGGGGTGATGCTGAGGTGGGGAGGGGGTGATCGACGACCAGTGCTACCCAAGAGCTGGCTCCATGCCACTTGGGGGGAGGCTGCAGCTTGCCCCAGGCCCCAGGGGCTCCTCACAGCCATCCCCTCAAGGCCCCTCCTCCAACCCTCCCCCAGCTCCTGCCGGCTACCAGACTGTGGAGGAGGTGAGGGCTGATGGACCCTGCTGAACTCCCTCCACATTCACCAGCCCTGATGTCAGCGGGCTAGCGAGGCCGACCTCCCACTGGGTCCCAGGGGCTCTGGCACCCACCCTTCCAGCTTCCCTTCCCCTGGCTGTGACCTGCCCACTGCCTGCTGGTCCCTTGATCTGCTCTGCTGCTGGGCTGGAAGTACGATGTGGGACAAGGCTTCCTGAGTCCCCTGCCATCACCTCACGCAGTCAAATCCTTGCCAAGCCCAAACCACGAAGCCAGGAGATGAGATGGGGAAACGGAGGCCCCGGGAGGAACAGGGACAGGCCCGAGGCCACAAGTAAGGTCCACAAAGACAGGACCAGAACCCAGGGCCCTGCCCCTAGTCCCAGCAACCCTCTGGGTCAGCAGTCAAATTCAGCCAAGCCTGGGCAGCTCCTCCTGCTCCCAGTTTGCCTGGAGGCTCCAGTTCCCTGGAACTGCTCCTCAGAACTCTTCAGAACCCCCTCCAGGCCCTCCGGCACTGCCCCCTGAGGACCATCCCTCCTCCTGCCAGTCCTGACTGCCCTCCCACCCCCTCAGCTTCTCCTCCCCAGGGACCTTCCTGAGTGGCTGTTCTTTCCCTCACCCTTTAACCGTGGTCCCCAGGGCTCTGAGCTGGGCCTGGCCCCTTTCACCGCAGACCCTTTCTGGGTGGTGTAACCCACCCCCACCTCCATACCGATGACTCCTGCTTCTCCATCCCCAGCCCAGCCCCTCTCCATATACCCACCAGCCTCCAGCCCTCAGGCCTGAGGGTCCCACCCCCTCCCCAGACTCCTCAGGTCCTAAGAAGGCACACAAGGCTTACAGGGCGGGGAAAGGGCATAAGAAGTGGGATGGTGCAGGCCACTGCATTCCTGGGCCCACTTGTCAGGCCCACTCCTCCACCTTCTGCACCCGAGTCCCCGGGCGTGGGTGAGGTGCATACACACACTTGCGTGCACGCGTTGGACCCCATCCTCAGAGAGCTGGGGCTGTCTGTCTCAGCTGTTCATCCATCCCCACACTGGAGAGACAACTGGCTTTAGAAAGTGCTCTGTGATGATGAAATCTTTAGATGATGATTCTGTTGGGATAACTGAAGGCTACAAGAATTCTGTATTGGAAAGGACTATTTTAGCACAAAACAAATTATTAACCAAAAATGGGGGAAAAAATTTTCCCTCCTAAGCTTGACAGGTCGTCAGCTCTAAAATTTTAGAGTTAAAGGTTCTATCAGGCATTGCCTAAGATAAGAACCTATATGGCAAGGCTGAAAAACTCTGCTCAGGGATTTAGTTGCTTAGCCAGGGTGATGATGTAACTGAAAAAAAGAGTTTTAGAAAGAAAGGAAAAAGGAGAAATCCCACCCCCTCACCACCCACCACACACTGGAAACCAGACCTTCCTCCAGCTTGTGCAAGGGTTCCTCAGCCATGCCAGCTCCAGGACTCCTGCCCTCGTAGGACGGCAACAACACCTCTAAAGCACAGAACTCCAGGCTTTGCTTCGATGTTGTGCCACAGTATCTTCATTTCCCCTTTCTTCAAGGTCAGAAAGATCCTGAAGCCGGTAGAATTTTGGTGATGAGTTTTTTTGTTTTTTTTTTAATGGAGGTACTGGCAATTGATCCCAGGACCTCATGCATGCTAAGCACATGCTCTACCACTGAGTTACATCCCTACCCAGGACTCTGAATTAAAGTCAATTCTTCAAGATATTTTCTTATTATAAGCAAAAACTAAACTCCAGCAAGCCCACTTAATAGTAGAGGTGTCCTGTTGCTTCAAAATCAAGTAAGGCTCGCAAATGAATTACTAGATATGGACAACTATTTTTTATTATATACCATACAGATACTGGAGAAAATTATGAACACCACCACCAAGTCAATGAGATTATCGTTAATTCTACATGGAAGGTCAATGCTCAGAAACTCGTCTTTCACATCTCCCCACTACCCAGTTCTAAGCTTCTCTCTGAAGTCTAGGATTTCAATGTTGAAAGGAGTCTGGTTAGTCAAAGAAAATCTACAGTTTACCTTTAAGATCCTTTTTGACCATCCATTGAATCCAAAGTAGAAATTGGCCAATTCTTGGCACCTGGAGCTGCTTAGGGCAAGGGCATTAAGTTGAACTGCCTTATGTCTGGTGCCCAGATGAACCTAAAGACCTAAGAGGCCTAAAAATATCACAACTTGACAGAGACTTATTTTGGATACACCTGAGATTTATCAATACCAATTTGATAAGAGTGGTTGTGAAGATTAAATAGGACCACAGTTTAAGCAATCAGTTCATAGGAAGCCCTAAATAAATATTACTTTTAAATCAATACTTTCCTGTATCACTTTCAGGGCCTCTGATTAATCAGAAGGTTTCCCTGACCTCTGGTGGTGAAGGTGATGATGAAAGCAACCAAGGAAGTCCTGCAGAAGCCTATTCCAGGCTTGTGGGTAAGCAAAGGAAGTAAATTGTTTTAGTCCGGTCATCCTGTAGCTCCTGCCCGAGAATATGAACTGAAGGGGAGATAAGATGGACCTGCCACTGAAATAGGACCTGAATCTGTAGCAGCCCTGCTCCCCAAGTTACTAACCCCTGTGAGAAGGAACACACATACCTCTATACATGTTATAAGCAACTAAATTAGCATTCTTTTAGCATCATCTGCATTAGCAAGCTTCTTTGAGAGTCCAAGTATCTCGTGTTAACTCTCTAAATAACTTATACATTACTCACATTGTAAAATGACTATAACTTAATCAAAAAAATTTAAAAAATAAAATTTAAAAAATTTAAAAAATAACTTACACATTACTGTGGATTTCTTACGTTGCTAGTTTTCTTATGTCTCTATCTCAACTTTAGATAGGATGTATAGAAATATATTCAAAGAAATTTAAATAATACAAGTAAAGTCAAAGCATTATTCTTTTTTCTTTTTTCATTCAGCCTCCTTGCCCACAAGACGGGAGGACGTGGTTAACTCCAAAAAAAATGGGCACAGATGAAGAGGCAGACAAGAAAATCATTACAAGTCTCTGCCCAGGGAAGGCAACAGTGCCAGGTGTCTCCTTGAGGATATGCACAGGACGGTTCTTCCCTCACCAGGGGACCAGTCCTAGGAGTCCAATCTCCTGCTCCAGGAGCTAGGTGGTAGCAGAGCCAGCCTTAGGCTGGGTCCCACCCCTGGCTGGGCTCCTGGGGCTGGCCTAGGCTGCGAGTGGGCTCCCTGGGGGAAGTGGAACCAGCAGAGGAGGCCCCTGCTAGGGGAAGACCATGAAGAGAGAACAG